TGCCATCATACTTTTGATACCCAAACGATTGAACATGTTTCAAATGTATAAAATGTCTTGTTTCATTGGTATTAATGTCATAATTCATAATACCATAGTTATGTAATTATTCTTTTCCTACACTGTTCTCAATGTGATTGATTAGAAATTAGATCGTAAATGTTTGGAGGTTTTCTATCTTTCTTTAACACTTTGATTGCTGGAAAGAGTGGTTCAAGCAAAACCGAATTTTTCAAACGCATGATTGAACACAAATTACATGTTTCCACCATAGCAAAATCATGTAGTTTTATATAAGTGGCAATAGGCTAGCACATTACACATGAAAGTCACAGAGAATCAATTCATTCCTAGATGATATTCCTCGCGAAGACGATAAGATCATACCTTAGTCAAACATATCTTGTCATCTTAAAATCACATTTTACGAGTTGAGGAAGCAGAAATTCAACTTTGGTATACACTTAAAGAACATCATCGTAATGCTAGTTATATTTGCATTATTCAATTTTATTTCAACAAAGTAAACGACATCGCACCACCTGTATCAATGCCCAATATATCGTATTGTTTAAAAGTCCAAGAGATAAATTTCAAACGAAAGTGTTCACAAAACAGTTCGGAACATATTTGATTGTATTATACGTATGAAGATGCTACTGCACCTTATATATTTTTAATTCTCATTTTAAAACGCTTCACTCCCGATTACTTGAGATTTCCTACCAATTTGTTTAACCACTGGTGCCAAGACCAAGACGGAGGTTCGGTCATTAACACGTCTTCTTTGGCTTCTACCTAAAAAAGAACAAAAAAATCCGTCACTTGTTTTTTTTTCCAAAGAGTATTCACCATGACTTCCTTTCATTCTATGCCTCATACTAAAGTGATTCTTTCACTGTGTGGCATCGCTTTCGAAAATAATACAAAATTCCGTGCACTTTTGTAAGAATGAAGTCTTAAAGATATATTACTATGGATTATTCTGACATCACGACAATTATATCAAGCGAACATTCAAAGACCACAACAAACCAAAGGCTTTGTGAAGAACATCAAGTAGTGTTGTCACAATGGCATTTCCAAGAATTAATACTCCAAGCAAGAAACCTGTTATTTTGAAACGATTTTACGCCTTTTTAAATTGACATTTCAATATTTAAAATCTCAAGATGAGAGATTCCTGTAACACCACCTTATCCAGTGTTTTGGGTGATAGCTATAATCGCTGAATAGTCCTGAATTCTGCTTTCTACGGTCTATATTAATATATATATATATATATATATATATATATATATATATATATATATATATATATATATATATATATATATATATATATATATATATACAAAATCGTACAATTTGTCTATTTTTGTTTTAAAAAAGCAAATCAGACTTATGAATTATATATTCTGAAATCAAAATAAAAAATTGCAATTGTTTATAGTTTGAGTATACATACCCTTATGTTTGTAATCCCCCTCTCCTACCAATTTCATTAACGGAAACCTTTAATGTGACAAAAGGTGCATATAACTTAATCATTTGATTCATTAATTTACTATTTCTAACCTGACACCGACCAATTTAGTATTCGTAATACTAGCTCCCTCCGTGCCTTTCATCTTTAACCGATTATCCATATTAACACGACGCTATATTGTGTACACTATGTATGAGTCTTCTGTCCTCAGGCAACAATGTGAAGTAGTTCATCCATATTCGGTAAGTACCAGATAATTCCGTATATTATCATAATGTTGAGAACTTAGAGTTATATCTCTTTGCACATATTAGAAGAGAAGTTACACGGCTTCGTCCTTCTATGTAAATGTTTGAGTAACCCTGTATAGACCCCTAAGTTGAAAATGGACTTGTCCAGGAACTGAAAATTACTGGCAAGCATTATTGTCATTTAAAATGAAAACTTCCGCTTGAAGTCAAAGGAACAGACGATAACTGGCTGCACCCCACACAGTTTATAATCAGGTTTGAAATTATAATCAATAAATGAACTGATTAAGTTTGAGCATCTTTTATCTTATTTGTGCTAAATCGAAAGGTGGGGTGGTACAAACAAACGGGAAGGTAAATTCAGATTATATAGTTCACCAAAACGTATCATTTCCAAAGAAACGGAAAACATCTATTTTTGAAATCATAATATTAGCATTAAAATCTTAATCCATTAAGTAAAGGATTTCCAAAACTCATTTATCACTGGAAAATCATAAAATAGTGTTCGATATTTTCAACTTCTTATTTACAAAAAATACATGTATCGACATTAATGAAATTTGTTTTCAAAAAATGATTTGCTATAATAATTATATGTCTGAATTTAAACATAAAGGCAATTAAGTTTGCATCTTTTGTGCACATCGATGTTATCATTATATATTGTTACCAGGTTGATCACTATTAAGGTTTTTTCCTAATATTAATATATGGATGCCTCCAAAGATTCCTAGAACTTTGTTTCTGACAAAGTCAATCCTTATTTGCAATCAGACATTTAATCCAAGTGATCTTCATGTATTGAATTAAAGAATAAATATGAATCAGCAATTGACCATGTTCTGATGCTAGGGCTGTGATTATATATGTTGGAAAACTTTCTATTTTGCCAATCCAAGCAAATATTTTAAACGTTTTAATCAGTTCATGCTATACACGTTGGATTTTGGCAAAATCTATAGTTCGATCAAAGTTATTTTCCTGCTGAAGAAACAGATTTTATCCTCATCCAGAAACCCATCCGTTCTTTGGTAACTTCTTTTAGTTTATTTTGATAATTTAAATCTCTACTATATCTTAATTCCATTCATTAAGTCAACAGGAAGACGTACAACAAATATGTTTTATGTCTGGGCATAGTTTTTATTCTGAGACTTTGTTCGAGTTTATCCAGGTGGAATTTGATTTTAGCAAGTTACAATGAAAACAAGAGACTGATGCAGAATCCTAACATGTATCTATAGTAGACATAAAACAATAGAGAGCCATTCAATATTGAAAAGACATCACCCAGTTTAAACTCTGTCATTATGAACAAGCTGTAATACTTCTGTTATGCCTAACGGCAACATTTCTCTAAACCAAAGAACAGAGACAGATGTCCATTGTTAATCGAATTGCCTTTGGACATGTGGCACGACACTCTAAACCACTGGCATATAGAAACCACTAGAGTTTAACGTCATTAGCGCATTTTTCCCAAACATCGCATTCGAACGAGTGCAATGCTTTTTTAATACTAATAATAAGCACAGACTGATTTGTTTCGTTCAGTTCGTACATAAAATAACTAAAAACATTCTAGTGTTTTCCCCAATAAATATCCCTTTCACACCTTTCGGATTATCATGTATAATGAAAGGAAGTATTCACTTTTGAATCTAATCCTATTTTAACTTTAAGCAATACAATGGGTCTCCAATTGGCTGTAAATATTATATGTTTGCCTTTTTTGTCATGTATGTGATAATTCCCTTGGATTGAATTTAGGGCAGAATATTATTTTCATATCCAAACTCTCAGTGATCTATATATAAATTCGCCAAAATCGTTCCAAAAGAACTTATACCATTCTACCATGAACACACCATACACATGACTGACTATATTTTTCATGGTTTTAAACGTTCAATTACACGCACAAAAGGTCAGCTTACCATCACATCAGTTGTTCGTTTCTTATTATTCGTGAAGTGCTTGGTAATTTGTTACAATTGCCTGTAGTGAATCATTTTCATCACCCTTAAAATGATAATCTTCAGCATTATAAATATTACATGCTTAAACTATTAATATTTCCTTTTGTCTTAGTAGACTTGCACTGAATTTGCAATAAATACAACCCCTGGAAAGTGTAAATAATTTTAAGTTAGAGTTATAACAGAGTGGTCGTTTCTTTTACCCGTGATAAATAGGTGAATCTGTGAAATATGGAAACGCGTAATCGACATTCAGGAAAAAAATCTACTCTGATTGCTTCAAAGTCACCTGGTAATTAATCATGCATTTTAATAGATTGCTCTCCATGGATCTAGTGACTCTAGTTCATTCCAAATATCATGGATTGCTGTTCCTGGCATGTGACTCATAGCATAAATAATATTATATGTACCGATTTCCATGAACCGAGCAACATTCCCGTCACCACAAATTATCACAGATGAATTATAAAAACTATCAAGATCTTTAATTCTTAAAATAACCAGGATTATTATCAATTTGACCATATAAACTAACCAAGAGTATGATATTGCCATCGGAGTATATTTTTTTTCGACAGAAAATTCATTGTTATTTATAAAGAGAATGGCAACATCTTCACTACTGTTTGATTTATGACAAAAAGACATCACATTCTGCCACCCAATATCACTCAATCGAAGCAGAACGGTTTGTTTATTGTAAACATAAAATGGATGTGATTCTTTGTTAACCTACTGGAAGATATCTCACCATTCTAAAATGGAACTGTAAAAACCCCTTAAATTCATTGATATGTGATGTGAATGGTCAAAATTATTTGAGCACAACTTAATCAAAAGAGATACAAGGAAAACATATGCTATTCAAATACATACAGATATAATCCTTCAAAGAAGCTCAGACTGATTTGCCATGACCTTTGGGTTATGAGACTCCTAGTAAGAAGGACCATCAGCATATATTACAGTAATACATACGATACTATACATTATAATGTTTAGCCAAATATATATAATTACCAAATTACCAACTACAACAAAACAATGTGAGTTCGAGTTATTCATGTGATGTGATTATGATTTTTAATCGTAGCCTTAATAATTTTTCAATCACATCTCTACGATATCTGCAGTGTAGCAGTTTATAGTGATGACTATCACTGGGGCATCATGCCGCAGACATGTAGCATGATGTCCCACCCAGTCACATTATTTTGACACTAACCTCTTAATGCTGATTGTCAAGCGAGGCAGCTGTTAGTACCATTTTTGGTGTGACCCGACCGGGAATCGAACCTACGATTTCCCACATCTGAGGCGGACGCTCTAACCACTAGGCCATCAGAGCGGTATATATATATATATATATATATATATATATATATATATATATATATATATATATATATATATATATATATATATATATATATATATATATATATATATGTATGACGTATATTGTCCTTAACTTTTTCCATGATTGTAAGTTGCATAGTTACTTGTAAATTGGATAGGGTTTTTAGTTGGATTTTCTTCATATCCTACTACGATATAGGTCAAGTGAACATTTATATAAATATGGATTTGATCAACAAAATAACTCATTCCTGTTTCAAATCAATATGTGTTAATCAATTTATCATTGAAATTCTAAAGTGCTCTTTACTTTGGATGTGAACTCATTCAAATATATTCTGGATTGCATCATTGTGTTATATGAGGATAGCCAAGACCATTAGATTTCATCCGGAACATTCTATATTTGTGGGCTTGTGATAGGACATAGGGATTTTTTGCAATTTAATTCACAATGTCGTAAGTGTCTTTTGGATTTTAATTTTGTGTTTTAGAGATATAAAATGCTAGCTGCTCTTACTTAAATTGTTCGTTTCATTTTTTTGGCACATACTTGAAAACCTACAGTCGTAACAATGTATATATTATGGTTTTGAAGATTGTTCATACCAATGCTAATGCATGCATACATAAATACAACTATTAAAGGTAGTGAGATTAATAACGGATGTTATGTATTAATAGCCCCTAATACTCGCCAGCTTATTCTGGTGGTGATGATAAAGCAAAAAAAATGGAGAAAATATCTGTAAATATTCTATTGGACAGGTTAAAACCAAATCTTGTCAGTGCCTCTATTATTTATTACATTTCCTTCATAACATGTCAATATTTATTATGATCATCACCATTATCATTGACACTGTCATTGCTGTCTACCAGATATAGATGTTAACTATTATAACATTATATCTTAAACATTGCTCCTCTCCAATCAGCTGTTTGCATGCATACCATTAATAACATGTCAACTGTAATTATTGTTTAATTCCTATGGATGTAAAATAATCCTGACACTAAGGAGGTCTTACCGTTATAACTGTAAATGTAATCACAGCTTAGTGATATAAAGACAATAACATACGATACAATACTGCTCATATTACTCAGCTAAAGGTTAGATACTACTCATAAGTTCCAGATGCAGGTTAAATCACCAAGACTGGATAAGATCGTTTATGCTAATGCAAACCGTAACTTCAACAAGGTACGGCTTTTTCTACACATTGTTATGAGCTACATTTCCCCATATATGAGAAATTGCAAAATAACAACATGGAACCAAATTTCAAGAAATTATTTTCCCAAACTAACTGAATGAGAAGGTGACTGAAAAACTCCAAAACAACAACGTCGTGTGAACGCTGGCTAATAAATTCATCATCACCATCATCATCGTCGTCGTCGTCACCATCATCATCGTCACCGTCGTCATCGTCATCCTCATTAATCCTTTAACCAAAGAGGTCGTTGGAGCACTACAGTTGACTTTGCAACCAATTTTTTTCCATCTTTCCCTGTTCTCTACTGCCATTTGGGAATTTCCGAATCCCCTGCCTGTCCACTCTTTAATGTTGTCTTCTCACCTTTTTTGTCTGCCTTTTTTGTGCACCCTTGCACTGTACCTTGCAAGATTGTTTTGCTGCTGTCCAGATGATCTTTAGGTTACTATCTTTTACAGGGATCAAGAGGTTTTCATAGGATTCAATCGCTCGTTCGATCCTGTTGTTGACTTCTTCGTTTATTACATGGTCAATGTAAGAGATGCTCAAGATCTTGCGGTATCGTTTCATTTCGATGGTTTGAATCCTTCTTTGTAGATCTGATGTGAGCGTCCATGTTCCGCATGCATATAGAAAGATAAATATGACAATCGAGTGCATCAGCCTTATTTTGGAACCAAAAGCAATGTTGGCATCTTTCCATGTTGGTCTCAACCTTGTTATTTCTGCTGTTGTCTGGACAAATATGTAAAGTTGTTCTGGTTTGGAATCCTCGTCTGTGATAATTTATCCCAAGTACTTAAAGCTTGTGACTCTTTCCAGCTTCTGTCCACTGCGTTTTATTTTTGCACTGATGTCATTGGTGTTGTTTGTCATCAGTTTGGTTTTACCGGCTTCAATCTCCATACCATATGCTGTGGAGGTTGTGTCGAGGCATTCATCCAAGTCAGCCAGTTTTTTTTTTTATCTCCTGCCAAACCATCAATATCATTTGCAAGAAAAGGTTTGTGATTGTGCTTCCTCTGATACTGACAGTGCCTTTGTGGTCATTCGATACATCTTCCATGATCCTTTCAAAGAAAATTTTGAAGAGTATAGGTGACAGTATACATCTCTGACTTCAACTGTTGTTTGAAACCAATCACCTCTGCTGAAATTGATAAGGAAAGCACTGATGGCTTTGTCATAGAGGTGCTCAACAACCTGCACCATATTTGAACTGATGTTATACTTCCTAATAGTTGCCCATAAGGCTGTATGCCTTTTTGAAATCTATAAAGACATGGCATAGATTCTGTTGGTGCTGAAGGTATTTCTCGCAAAAGAGTCTGAGATTGAAGATTTGTTCTGTGGTGTTCCTTCCTGCTCGGAAGCCTGCCTGCTCTTCAGCACTAATTTTCTCTACTTGAGGCTTTAGTCTGTTGAGAATTATCTTCAGCATGACTTTGCTCGGGTGTCTGATCAAACTGATGGTTCCATAGCTTTGGCATAGCTGTAGGTTTTCGTTTTTGGGGACAACGATGACCAAGAATCAAGTCCATGTGGTGGGCCATATCTTGTTACAGATTGTTGTTAGTACTGTGAATGTCTCTTTCCCTCCTGTTTGAATGAGCTCTGCTAGTATGTTGTCAATGCCAGCAGATTTTCATTTCGTTAGTGGTCTAACTGCAGTTTCCACTTCTTGTAGAAGAATGAGGTTGTCATCAATTATTTCTGCATGAGGGTCTTATGATTATACAATTCTGAGCAGTATTCTATCAATCACTGTAGGATCTCTTGATCTTTTTTTATGAATAGTCTTATGTGCTGGTAGTTTTCCCTTGTTTATGGGTTGTGAGATCTTTCACCAGTTGATATGTCATTTTGATGTCATTTCTACTCAGACTATCTTCGATTTTGCAGCATTGTCTTTCTTTTCAGTATCCTTTTGCTTTTTTTTTTCATGTTTTTCCTGATCCGATTGTTTATCTCTGTATTTTCTAGCTCTTCATTATTTATTTTCCCTTTTTCAGGTCTCTTCTTTAATCGCATAGTTAAAGGACATCTGTCGTGTCAAGGTATCTTTGTTCGACGATATTTGCTATTGATCTGGTTAGCTGATCTAGTCACAGCTGCGTTGAATGTGGTTGCTAAGGACTCTAGTGCGCTGTCCTGGCTGTCCAGTTTTATTACAGGTTCACATTTATCACCAAGCATTGCTTGGAGGGCTTCTGAGACTTTTGGCTCTTTCAAGTTACCAAAGTCAAATCTGATTCTTGGTTGCTTAGCCTTTTTGATCATTTTCAAATGGAGACGAACTATTGTCAATAATAGATCATGGTCACTTCCAACATCTGCTCCTGGAAAACTTTGTGTTCTAGCTATATTCATCCCTATGCAGATTTTTTTTTTTTACCAAAATGTAGTCAATCTGGTTGTGATGTTGTCCACCTGGACTTTGAAATATTCCAACATTCCCACAAACGCTTCGAATAGTCTTTACCACATTTTAAGTTGCTGACTAATTTGGTTTTAACTTGTCTGTGTCAAACAAGAAATGTTATATTATCTATCTATCTATCTATCTATCTATCTATCTATCTATCTATCTATCTATCTATCTATCTATCTATCTATCTATCTATCTATCTATCTATCTATCTATCTATCTATCTATCTATCCATCCATCCATCCATCCATCCATCCATCCATCTATCTATCTATCTACCTACCTACCTACCTACCTACCTACCTACCTACCTACCTACACACGCAGATATATATATATATATATATATATATATATATATATATATATATATATATATATATATATATATATATATATATATATATCAAGAATACAAATTATATGACAAATAACAACCCTTTCAAGCGCACTGAATCCAGCAAGGGATCACGTGTGTCAGCGATTCATTAAGATAGATAAAATAAACTAACGACGAACAGTGCGAAACTAGTATGAGCGCTTTCAACTCTTAATGAGTCTGTTTCAAAGGCAAATACAAAACATATGCAAAACAAATAAATAAACATTAAACATTGTGCTTGTATATGGCTGTCTCCACATGAGTTAAACCTAAAGATACATTGTTTCAACCAGCCTGTATAGACTTGTTCCGAAGACTGGTTGAAACAATGCATCTATAGGTTTAACTTATGTGGAGTCAGCCATGTAGAGTTTTACAAACACAAATTTTTGTGTTTATTTGTTTGTTTTGTATGTTTTGTTTTTGCTTTTGAAAAAGACTCATTAAGAGTCGAAAGCGCTCAGGACAGTTAGTTACTAGTTTCGCACTGTTCGTCGTCAGTTTTGTTGCATATATATATATATATATATATATATATATATATATATATATATATATATATATATATATATATATATATATATATATATATATATATATATATATATATATGCATAATCAGTGCAAGGTATGGAATAATTTACAAATATCATGGCTTTCTGATAATTTTGGATAAGTGAAATCAATATCCAACAATACTTTATGACCATTAATTTGAGATTAATGATTCGGAATTAGTTTCTTCAACAATGGCATCAAACGGGCCAACTCTTAGTCTTCCCCTTGCTTTCGTTTGAGGCATAGATCCAATATTTAAAGTAACCAGACAGAGGTTATATATTTGAGTTTTTTTAGGACATATTAACGAGACAAATGTTACGTCTGGGTACATTTGCAGTAATTCTTATTTCATTGTGTCCTTTGAAACAGATATTTTGGCCTCGTAATTTCCAAC